TTTGACTTTGCTGCTCGCTGTCGTCTAGACTACGCTGCTAGTCTTGTTGCTGAGTCTGCGTCTGTCTGTCCTCCGTCCGTCTGGGGTGAGTGTGCTCTTGGCACGGACGTCCTAGAGGACAGTCAGGAGGAGTTACAGTGTCTAGCGGCTGCTTCACCTCATCTCGCGTCTGTAGTGCTTGCCCCTGAGGGAGACCCGGATGCACTAGACATCCCGACTCCGCGTTCTTACGCGGAGGCCGTAGAGGGTCCCTACTCCTCTCAGTGGCAGGCAGCTATGGATGCAGAGATGGCTTCCTGGAAGTCCACAGGCACCTACGTTGACGCGGTTCCCCCTCCTGGGGCGAACATCGTCAGTGGCATGTGGATCTTCAGGGTGAAGCGGCCGCCGGGCTCTCCACCTGTCTTCAAGGCGCGGTACGTTGCTCGTGGCTTCAGTCAGCGGCAGGGAGTTGACTACTTTCAGACCTTCTCTCCCACCCCGAAGATGACCACTCTTCGGGTGCTACTGCACATAGCCGCTCAGCGCGACTACGAGCTTCACTCTCTCGACTTCAGCACTGCGTTCCTGCAGGGTAGCCTGCACGAGGAGATCTGGCTGCGCCGTCCGCCTGGCTTCACTGGGACTTTCCCTCCTGGCACCCTGTGGAGCCTCCGACGGCCAGTCTACGGTCTCTGCCAGGCACCGCGTGAGTGGCACGACACACTGGGGACTACGCTTGCGGCTCTTGGGTTTGCTCCTTCTACTGCTGACCCGTCGCTGTTTCTGCGCACCGACACTTCACTGCCGCCGTTCTACATCCTCATGTACGTCGACGACTTGGTCTTTGCCACAGCGGACACTGCTGGACTCGCCTACGTGAAGTCCGAGCTGCTGAAGAGACACACGTGCACAGACCTGGGTGAACTGCGCAGCTACCTTGGCTTGCAGATCACTCGGGACAGAGCACGCCGCACCATTACCTTGACTCAGTCACACATGGTGCAGCAGGTCCTTCAGCGCTTCGGCTTCACGTACTCCTCCCCTCAGGCCACTCCTCTGCCTACTCGCCACTCACTCTCAGCTCTGCCTTCGGATGAGTCCGTAGAGTCGAGTGGTCCGTATGCAGAGCTTGTTGGCTGCCTCATGTACCTGATGACCTGCACACGACCTGACCTTGCATACCCTCTGAGCATTCTTGCACGCTATGTTGCTCCTGGTAGACACCGACCAGAGCACATGGCTCCAGCGAAGAGGGTATTGCGCTACCTGTGCAGTACGTCGGGCATGGGGCTAGTGCTTGGAGGGCGGAGTCCAGTGGTCCTTACAGGCCACGCGGACGCTTCTTGGGCTGACGACCAGGCTACGCAGCGATCGTCACAGGGTTACACCTTCAGCCTTGGTTCCGGCTCTGTCTCGTGGCGGTCTACTCGCTCGTCTTCTGTTCTCGGCTCCAGTTGTGAGGCTGAGATCTACGCCGGGGCCATGGCTGCACAGGAGCTTCGCTGGCTCACCTACCTGCTGACTGACCTTGGAGAGCCGCCTCGTTCTCCTCCAGTGCTGTACGTAGACAACAAGGCCATGCTGGCCTTGTGTCGAGAGCAGCGCTTGGAGCACAGAACGAAGCACATTGCTCTCCGCTACTTCCTTGCTCGTGAGCTGCAGCAGCGTGGTCAGTTGCGACTTGCGTATGTGGCCTCTGAGGCCAACACTGCTGATGTGTTCACCAAGGCACTCGCGCCTTGTGACCATCAGCGCTTTTGTACCCAGCTGGGTCTTGTGCCTGTCTTGCCTCACTTGCTCTCTTCTTGACTTTACTTGTACTGTGACATATATATACCTGCTCTTGCTTGTCTTGCTTTATATATATGTCTGTACTCTTGCATGTGAACTGGCCTTTGGCCTTGCTCTTGTGCTCGGACTGTGTGGTGACTTTGTGATCCACCCTGAGCTTTGTTTTGCTTTGCTTGACTGGTCTTGTGACCCCTTGTTCTCCCCCACTTTGCCTATGGGGGTGTGTCAGAACATATATACAGCTTATACTATTGTGTAGGCTGTTGTGGGGTATCCCATAGGGGGTACAACCCAGTTAGGGTTTCCTACTTGTACTGATTTCATTTCATAGTCAATCATTCCTGTTCTCTCAATTTCACATAGGTTCACCCCCATACCCCCCACCTCCAAACCCTAATTCAGGAGAACGGGCCGTAGGAGGGGTGGGGCGCCAGCAGAAGCACGGGGGACAGCGGGGAGGGCAGGGGCAGCAAGGAAAGGGGCCGCCCACGGGCCTGGCACAGCCGCCCGAGCCGCGCGCAGGCGGCCCGAGTCGCGCGCGGGCCTGGCGCAGCCCGTACGGGCCGCGCGCAGCCTGTACGGGCTGCGCGCAGGCCACGACGGGCGACGGGGGGCGACGCGCGGGTCCCCGTCGCCCGTCGCAGCGCCCCCCGGGGGCGACGCGCCGAATGACGGGGCAGAAGCCCGCCGCGCGCCTCGGGGCGCACGGCAGGAAGAAAAAAAAAAGTGCCGCACGCACAGAGAGTAGTAGTAGCAGCTGCAGTAGAAGCAACGAGGTGGTGAGCCCACCCACAGGATCGATCCAAGGGGATCGATCTGCTCTGATAGCATGTGAAAGTTTAGAAGAAAGAAGAGAGGTTGCACTAGCAAGCAGCAAGATACATATAGGAAACCCTTAGGGGTTGTACTCGCTATAGAGTACCCCACTGCAGGCTAGAGAACAAAGATAACATCCTGACAAAGATCGCAGCAGTTTGTCACGGAGCTGCAGACCGCCCACACGAAAGCAGGTGATTTCATTCGTAGGGCTAATACCACGGCCAGCCGCCAGGCGGATAAACACCGACGGAATTTACCCTTCCGCATAGGGCAGGTTGTACTCCAGGACACTAGGAATCTCAAACTGCTGCAGCCCGCGAAACTACAACCCTGATACGTGGGACCATTTCGTATCATCCAGATGGTGACACCTGTCACCGCGAAGCTGCTGCTGCGCGACGACTGGAAAATACACGACGCATTCCATGTCAGCCTGCTGCGTCATTACGAACACCCGCATTCGCCAGCTGTTGCTCGGCCAACCATTACGCCGACCACACGCCCCGTGGCAGAGCCCACGCTGGAACCTTGGAAGATTCTCAACCATCGCGTGGACGTGACCGCCACCGGCCGCTCTGTGAAATTCCTGCTTTGCTGGAAAGAACGCACGAGCGAGGATGACACGTATGTCGCCGCTGACTCACTACTGGGACATCCTGTTGTGGATGCTTACCTGGCCCACCGGGGTGTCTCAGATATTCACCACCTTTCTTAAGGGGGGGGGGGGGGGGGGGGGGGGGGGGGGGGGTAGTGTAAGGAATTTTTCGGATTCCTTATTGGGTCAGACTGTACGCGTACAACCCCGACTTTCGGAAAACCAGGCTCGGTCCGCTGACCTCGCCTTCCGAGCCACTACCGCGTCACTTTCGGGTTTCCCAACCCCGAACCTGCACCCCACCATCTCGCGACCCCGCGACCTCGGCCCAGTTAGCTTCGCTATATTAGTCCTAGGCCTCGTTGTGTTCTCAGACGTTGTAATCACTTCCGCATTATTGAGTTTCTGCGCACTCTTCCTTTCACAACCCATAACACTTAGCCTGCTTGCACGCCCTGGTGCACCACCCATCAATGAAAAAACAGGCAAGGCCGAGGAGGTGCGACAAGGTTTTATTATGATGTGATTGGCCTGACGTTTTGCGAGTCAGAGAGATAACCTTAAACACTAGAACAGTTTGGTAGGGTGTATAATGTGTCGAAGAAGCTGACAAATAGTGTACTGATATGCAGGCCCTCCCCTAGGAAAGACTAAAACCAGGCCCCTAGATTCGTTTTGAGGTAGTCTTACGCCTTAGAGTACACCCCTCCTGGAACTCTGTCTGTCAGAGGTGGATCAAAATTTTAGTCTGAAAATTCAGACAAGCACAACTTTTTTTGTCTGAACTGTCAGAGTTACCCTCAAATTTTAAGATGATGATGCAGTATTGTAAAAGCATATTTATAATAGCATTGAAGCTGATTTCAGCATACCAATTCAACTCTGCGGTACGAACCAGTCGGGGTCGGCGGGTTTGCATCAGGCAGTGTGCTCGTGCATCGCCTTGGATGTTTTGTCACGTGCAGCGCATGGGTTGTTTCTGCTGATTAGAATTCGTTTCGTCGTGTGTCTGATTACCGTTTTGTACCCATTTTCTCGCCTGTGTGCCGATTTTGTCAATTTTGGATTTGCGTTTCAAGCGATGTGATCATTCACCCGATCTGGTTGTTGTCACGTACAGTGCCAGGTGGGTCAAGTGCCACGCAGCTGAACTGGTAGCAGGCAGAAACTGTTGGTTGGCGTGGCGTGTGTGAGCATGTGGCAGTGCCGCACGAAACTTTCATTACGAATTAGCAGCTTCGCAATTTCACAGCAGTGCATGCTGCAGATTTTCTTACAAAGAATCAGCATCAAAATAGCCAATTCTTTAAAATACATTAGCAATAACTTACATGTGACGAGATTTTGTCTACGAAATCTCGTAATCACGCAACCATTTTCTTAGTGTAACTGGGAGATATTCTCGACGAACGAGTGCATTCGGATGTCCCAGCTGTTGAAGCGTGCGTTGGTCACGTCCTGGCACTCCACTGCCATCTCGTAAGTGGGCATATCGAAATGAAACTTCCAGGAAACTTCGTTTCGATAAGCTCACAGAGTGCACCCCGGACACAAGTCTGAGGCTCAGCCTGCACCCCTAAAAATTGGCTGAAATTTCAGTGGTTACAATAAAAAAACTCTGAAAAATCAGAGAAGGTACATAAAAAAAAACTTATACGGTAGTTCAGACCAGGTACCAAAAAAAAGTCTGAATGGACGCTGAATCAGCGTAAAAAGTCTGATATCTAGGGCCCTGACTAAAACTTAATTGAGAAAACATTTCCATGAGGAACTCTAATGCCAATTTCAGCCCGCCAACAAAAAATTGGTCTCCTTATGCAGCACCGTCTCCATCCTCACCATCTCCACTTATTTCTTCCTCCTCATCTTCCTCTTCCTCCTCGTCATCCTCATCACCCTCCTCATCCTCCTCATCCTCATCATCATCATCCTCATCGTTGTCATCATTGTCGTCATCCTCATCCTCCTCACCACTTTCATCCTCTTCCTCATCGCCTTCTTCAGAGTCCTCTCCGACATCTTGATCTCCTTCCCCCACTGTCGCTAACCCCTCCGCGCCCTCCATCCCTCTCTCTCCCTCCTCTCCCTCTTCCATATCCCCCCTCCCGTGAATCACCCGAATCCTTCGGTCCGAAAGCAGGGGGCACTCGCGGATCATGCACTGAATCAATTTCGGCATTTTTAAAAGAGACGATGGTAGCTGCCGCAGACGCTCACAGTACCACAGCTTCATTTCCTCCAGCCGGGGCAGCTGCGAGAAAGACTCGGGCAGGCTCTCCAGGTTTGGCAGGTTGATCAAAACCAGGTTCTGGAGGGAGCAGAGCTGCCAGAAATCATCTGGGATGTATGAGATTAGCGGGCAGCTGGTAAGAGAAATGATTGTGAGCTTGGACAGGTTAGGGAAGCTTCTCGGAAGCCGGGCCAGCTTTGCGCAATCCTTGATTTGCAGAGACTGGAGCATGTTCAGCTGCCCGAAAGACTCGGGCAGCTCACATAAGTTTTCAAGCCCAACCAGCTGCAGGAAAACAAGCTTGGAAAGGCTTCCTATTGAGTCGGGCAAAGACTCCAGACTGCTAGCACGAGCAATCATAAGCTCTTGCAGATTCGACAGGCCAGAAATGGATTCCGGGAGAGTGAGCAGCGCCTGCATGTCTGATAGCTCTAGGCTTGTCAGGGATGAGAGACGGCACAGGGACGGGCCAAGGGCTTTAAAGGGAAGAACCTCGAGTTTAAGATTTTGCAGGGATGGAAGCAGCGGATGATCATCACTCCTGCTCGGACTGCTGCTGCTGCTGTTTCGTTGGCAACTGCCACTCCCATGTGAGCTGCTACCAATGGTGACACCCCGTCCCTGCTCCTGCGCAGCTTCTCCCAGCGTTTCATCCCCGAAAAGAGCCACGAGACCCGTGCACGCCATCACCTCTAGCACCCGCAATGCGGGCAGCTGAAACAGCGTCTTCGGGAACGAATCCACACCGTATAACTTCGAGATTGTGAGCTCCTCAAGTGCTTCCAACCGTCCGATCTCCTCAGGCAGCTTCTTTATTTCCAAACAGTTGGTCACTATTAAGCTGGTGAGTGTGCGGGAGAGGCCGGGGAGAGGCGAAGGGAAGGCTGATAGGTGCGGCAAGGAGCAGAGCCAGAGCTTCTTGAGGCTTTTCAAGCAGCCAAAGCCCTCCGGCAGGGGCCCTCTAAAGCTGTCAGCTTGCAGGATCTCCAGGGTTTCGAGCGATGAGAGACAGGAGAAGGATGGAGGGAGGTGAGTGAGGGCCTTGCAAGGCATTAGAATGAGCTCTTGTAATTTCTGTAGACCGTTTCCCAACCCGTCTGGTAGAGCCGTGAGCCTCCGGTTTTCACTCAGATCCAGCTTTTCAAGGGAAGATAGCCGGGATAGAGAATCTGGCAGCTGATGCAACCGTGCGCACTTCACCACTTTCAGCTCATCAAGGTTTGTCAAGTTCCCGAGACATTCGGGCAGATGGGTGAGCTGTGGGAGGTTGGCAAGGCGGAGGGACTCAAGTGCCGTCAGCTGCCCGAATTCTTCGGGCAGGGACGTGACATTTCGGAGACCGTCAATGGCAAGTTCTCGGAGAGCAGAGGCCAGAGAGATTGAATCAGGAAGGCTTGTAAGGCTATGAGCATCCAGCATGAGGCTTTGAAGATTCGATAGCTGCCCGATGTCATCGGGCAGCGTTGAAAGTGTTGGAACAACCAGGTTGAGACCCGTGAGGGACGACACCCGAGACAGCGATCCGGGCAGCGACATAATTCCGAAGCAGCCAATCAATTGCAAGAGCCGCAGCCGCTGCAGCTGTCCGAGAGACACTGGAAGCTCAGTGAGACCCATCACCTCGTCCAGAAGTAAAATCTCGAGCGCCTGCAGCTGACCGAGATTCTCGGGCAGCGGTGAAAGATCCTGGCACTTGTGAATCTCGAGGACCACCAGAGATGAGAGATTGCAAAGGGAAGCCGGAAGCTGAAGCCTGGCGGTGCCGCTGATGTAGAGATGGTCTAGATTCGCAAGTTGCCCAAGAGATTCCGGGAGTGACGTGAGAAGCCCGCAAGACTCCAGGCGCAGCGATTCTAGAGATGTCAGATTGCCGAAAACCGGGGGTAGTTCTTGAAGGGAGTCCATATGCAACTCTAGGTTCTCGAGTGAATGTAACGAGGTGATACTGTCCGGGATGTGAGTAACGCTGCTTGCAGTGAGATGCAGATCCCTGAGCCAAGCGAGACCACCGATGGAAGGCGGAATGGCGGTGAGACGGAGAGGGCAATCCAGATGAAGCTCCTCCAGCCGAGCACAACCCTCGAGAAGCGCGGAAAGGCCCTCTTCGGTGAAACCCTTCCCTCTGTGAGTCTGATCCGTTGATTCAATGTGAAGCTGAAGCAGATCTGGACACGTGTCGGCGAGACGGGTGAGGAAGAAGTCCGGCACGGAGATGAGGCTGCCGGAAGGAAGGACGAGCCTCGTGAGGCTAGGGAACGACGAGAGCTCGGAAAGCAGTTGTCGCGGACTCATGCGACGGTCCTCTTGCAAGTGAATGTAGTCCTGTACGCGACAAGCGATGCGATGCCATTCCTTAGAAACGAGAGCGTGCTGGAAATAGCTGCCTGATTCGCCGACGAGGTGGAGGATCTGGGAGAGCAGATCATCTGATAACCGTCCGATCACGGGCCTGTCCCGCATCGTGAAAAAGCAGTTGCTAGGGCGGATTGTCCACCGAAGTAAGGGCTAGATTGATGTAATCGAGGAACTGTAAGTAAAACACCTAGAGCACGAAGATCGAAGACACTAGAGATATGTGAGTCATTTACGAGAGATATGTGAGAGGGCTGGGGTTCCGGGTTTAAAGGTTTTTATTAGGTCATGACCTCAGGGTGCGTCAGAACCGTTGGTCGGAAAAATCTGGCCGGCCGGATCCAGCGAAGGTTACACATTCACGACATTCTTAAGGTATGTCGTTAATTTCGCACAATCTGGCCACTAGCTAAAATTTTGATGGCCGGTTTGATGGCCGGTTTAGCATTCGACAACTTTCTGACATGCAAACGAATCTAGAGTCGACCACTTTGTCGACTCGTCATCGCTGAAGTACCTATGCGACTTGGCCAACATACCCAAGCGACTCAACGTGTCACAAGGACGACTCGCACGGCGCTTTCAGCACCATTGAGCATGACCGCTTTTCGGGGTCACACTTGTGTAGTGCGACACGAGGTAACCGAATACGTCACGATCAACTCGCAGTGTTTCGTATAGGTGGTTTGGGGACATGTGCAAGAAGCGGTCCATCCAACGCGCTCGTTGAATACTTCGGTCATCTCGCCAGAACACCTAGTAATCGTTCTCGTCAGCCAAGTCAAGGAGCAAGGGCACCATGACACCGACTGCAGCGACCAAGGGGATGAGCACGACGTGCGTGAGTCCGATTGCTAAACGTCGTGCCCATCTGGGTGTGAAAGGATCCGCCATGTTGGATAATGGCTAGAGTGTAGGGACGTTCCGGTTTTTGTACGCTCTCGTCACACTCAGTTCGGGTAGACGACACGATCTCGCCGAGCCGGGTTGTAAATGGAGCCGCAGCTCACATCTTGACTCCCTGATCGTAGTGTGCACAATAGCGGTTGTGTCACTTCAGTAACAATACGTGCGACTCCGTCACACAATCCGACCAGCTGTGCGACCTGCAAATCTGACACTTTTGCAAACCGGCCTGTAAATCGGCCACCAAATCTGCCAGATTTCAACACCTTGTAAATGTGGTTGGATGGTGGTCGGTTTAGCATTCGACCATTCGGTCAACTTTGGCGAATAAAGGAGTCGACTAAAAGGGCGACAAATTTGCAGCCAAATCACATTGTAGCGGATCTGACGCACCCTTATTACAAACATGCAGCAAAAATGAGGATACTGGCTGAGCCTAGCTCCCCGTAGGGAGCACGTGATACCACGTAATCCTCCTGCTACAAGAGCAGAGACATCCTAGGACAAACATCTAGCCAATATGTGGCAAGTTGGCGGGGGGGCCAGTTTACGGTAGGTGGAAGATGTCGTCGAGAAGCCAAGTGGCGCGGAGGTCCGGATGTATGACGGACGTGTTGGGGTCAGGAAAATCAAGGAGCCTGTGGGCTTGGGCCAACTTGGCTATCCGTGTCGCTTTGGCCTTTTTCTTCTTGGAGCCTTTGGAATATCTCCACATAAGGATCTTGTAAGCTAGCAGGAAGTAGTGTAGTATAGCAACCTCGGCTATCCCTCTACACCGCTAGTTCGTCTTGTTGATAACGCTCTTGGCGTTCGATGTTAACAGGTAGACGTTCTACTGCGAGGTAAGCTTGGTTCCTTTTCTTGTAACGAGTGTTTTGTGCACAGGTTCCTGGGTTCCTCCACTCTTCCTCTTGACGTGGATACCTGCTCCAAACTTCTGGGAAAGGTGAGTACTGCTGCCTACGTTTCCTTACTAACCTCCAGGTGCTGTACTAATCCAGCGTGTCAAACTTACGGGAATCACTCCCTGTCTGACGATGGCGGTGGTTCTTCCCATAATTTCGGGAGTCTGGTTTCTTATCCATTTGCCTAGCATTTCGGCCTTGTTCGGACTCTCGTTTGGACCTTGTTTGGATACCCTTCACCATGCAAGCCTATTGCGGCGTTTCTGTTTCGTCCTTCTGACCCCAGCCTGACTCAGCCATGGCAAAGACAGCGCAATGCTCCCCGTGATAACCTGGTTACTAAGCTTCGCGCACATGTGCTCATTACCGACTCGGACTGCCGATCTGGCGTCCAGTCAACCTCCCTTGGTTGCTATGGCCATCGCGAAGGCACCAAATCACTCTCGAATCGCTTTATCCTCTTCATTGCACGGTCTGGCTCGCTGCCTTTCCACGCTTTCTCGCTTCCTGACGTGAAAGACAATCCCTCCCCATTCTTGTTCGTGTATAAATCAAGGCCTCTGGCTAGCTTAAACGTACCCCTCGCAACCATGGATACTGAGCACAACCCTGATCATGTCATGACGGAGGAGTAGATCCCCGTGGGAGACGAAACACTTGATGAGCTCGGGCAGGATTCCTCGAGGATCTTCCTGATGGAGCCCTTCCCGATCTCCATGATGGTGCTGCGACCTCCCTCCCTGGCGGTGCTCAATCGACCCCGACGGGTGAACCCGCCGCCAAAAAGCTGTGTAGTGAGGGGCAACCCTCGGCTGCCGGTGCCTCCGGCGTCGCCTCGGCGTCTCACTCGGCGCCTCCCCAGATTCCCCGCGCGAGCTCTTCCGGTAGCTTTGCCGCAACGGGCCCTACGCCTGTCCGCACGCCTGCTCCCTCCGCACCTCGTCCGGCGCCTGCTTCCCGCTCTCGGCCTGCGCCGCCGGACCCTGAACCTAAGCTTTGTCAGAATATATCTATAGCTTATACTGTTGTGTAGGCTGTAGTGGGGTATCCCATAGGGGGTACAACCCAGTTAGGGTTTCATATTTGTACTGCATTCATTCATAGTTCATCCATTCCTGTTCTCTTACTTTCACATGGTATCAGAGCGGTCTCGGGTTCGAATCTCGGTGTATGCACATGTTGGCCGTTGCCATTGTGCTCAGTCCTGGGCCTCCCACTGTGGGGGGGGTGTCAGTAGAGCTACACTGTGAGATCCCCGATCGATCCTAAGGGGGGTTACAGGCGCGTTTGCCTGGGGGGTTATGGGCGCACTGACCCGCTACTGAAATAAGCCCTTTTATCCCAATGGTCTAGTGGTTGGGATTCTGACATGGTATAGAGCGGGTCCTTCCTAAGGACCGTTTTTTTTAGGGCCCACCGAAGCGCGCCCCGAGGCGCGCATTTTTTTCAGCGACTCTCCGAGTCGCACTTCCTCTCGCGGCTCCGCCGCCCACCTTTCGAGCGGCCCCGCCCTTTAGCGGCCCCGCCCTGTCGCGGCCCCGCCCTCTAGCGGCCCCGCCCCGTTGCGGCCCCACCCTGACGCAGCCCCGCCCCTTTGCGGCCCCTGCCCCGTCGCGGCCCAGCCAGCCCCGTCGGGGCCCCGCCCCGTCACGGCCCAGCCGCCCCTTCGCGGCCCACCCACCCCGTCGCGGCCCCGTCGCCCCGTCACGGCCCAGCCCCGTCGCGGCCCAGCCGCCCCGTCGCGGCCCAGCTCCGTCGCGGCCCAGCCGCCCCGTCGCGGCCCAGCCCCGTCGCTGCCCAGCCGCCCCGTCGCGGCCCAGCCCCGTCACGGCCCAGCCGCCCCGTCGCGGCCCCGCCCCGTCCCGGCCCAGCCGCCCCGTCGCGGCCCGGTCGCCCCGTCACGGCCCCGCCGCCCCGTCGCGGCCCCGCCCCATCCCGGCCCAGCAGCCCCGTCGCGGGCCGGTCGCCTCCTGACGGCCCCGCCGTCCCTTGCTGACGGCCCCGCCGTCCCCTTCTACCGGCCCCGCTACTGCACCTTCTGGCCCCGCCGCTGCACCTACCGGCCCCCACCACCCCCCCTTTTCCCGTCGCCTATCGAGGCGACCTGAGGGGGCCGCCAGCAGAGGGGTGACAGGTGTGTGGCCTCCCCTGCTTCTCCTCCTCCTTCATCTCCCACTGCAGCAGCCGAGCCGCTCACCTGCAGCAGCCGAGCCGCCCCACCGCCGAGCCGCCCTGCGCCCGAGCCGCCCAGCAGCCGAGCCGCCCAGCAGCCGAGCCGCCCTGCCGCCGAGCCGCCGGGTCGCTGAGCTGCTGAGCTGCAGTTGCTGCCGAGGCGCCCTGCCGCCGAGTCGCCGAGCTGCTGAGCTACAGTTGCTGCCGAGCCGCCTTGCCGCCGAGCCGCCCGAGTCGCCCGAGCTGCCGAGCCGCTGAGTCGCCGAGCCTACTCTTCCCACCACTGGTGAGCTCTTGCCCTGCTAGCACGCTGCGCGTCGCCTGCTTGCCTGCCTGTCTGCCTTTTGGCTTGCCTGGCTGCCTGCCTTCCTGCTGCTGGTCCTGCTCCTGCTTCTACTTGCGGAGCCAGATGCAGCAACAGCGACGCCTGCGTGAGTCCCTCACGCCCCAGCAGCTGCGTGAGTGGTACGCTGGTTGGGGCTGTAGGGGTGGCGGCGCTACTCCTACTACCACTCCTGCTGCTTCTACTCGTGGTGGCGGCCAGATGCAGCTCCCGCGACCCTCTCGCGTGTCCCTCACGCCTCGCCAGCTTCGTGAGTGGTACGCTCAGAGTGGAGGGTCTCTCAGTGCTGTTCGCTGCTCTTACGTGATTCGCACTGGTACTCGGACTGGTCAGCCGTGTGGGACACCTAGTCATACACACTCCCGCTGCATCGCCCGTCTGAGCGACGCCTGGCGTACCGTGTTTGGCGACGAGGCTGAGCTTCCCGACTGGGTGGAGTTGCTTAGGCAGAGGGTAGATATATATGCTCTTGACTATGATGCTATTCTCACTGCCATGTATGCATTGCCTACTAGTGCTGACCGTGCCGATCCCCTGTGCGTCCCGCCTGACCCAGGTATAGGACCTGCTGCTCTAGCTACTGGTGAGGCTGCTGCTCTAGGTGCTAGTGCGTCTCCTGCTCCAGGTACAGGTGCGGCTGCTGCTATAGGTGCTAGTGAGTCTGCTTCCTCAGGTGCGGGTGAGGCTGCGCTCTCAGGTACCGCGTTGGCTTCAGCCTCCCTCACCTTTACACTTGACTCTGGGGCTTCTCGCTCCTTCTTTCGGGACCGCACCACACTCAC